TGTTTCCAGCTATAAATGAACGTGAAAGTTTATAGTATTGAAAAGCACACTTGATTTGTTTCCATGATTTCTGTGCTCGTGTCTTTATTGTTCTTAAAACAATATAAATGCATTTAAAAGCAATATAAGTGCATCAAAAATTTGGTACTTTTCTTTAATATTAAACTTTCAGTAGCCAGTAGACAGTCTGAAAGTTTGAAGCCCCTAATAATGTAATTTTAATTTGCCTTTTTTTTCTCCATATTTTTGGAGTTCGTAAACAATTCAACATTTTGAGCTTAATTTTATGAATTGTATATTGAAGCATTTAAAACACATAATTTTAAAAGTAAAATTTAAACATAAATAGGTTGGATAGTTAATGAGATAATTTTTAGGAAACCCACATTACTTTCTTTTTTTACTTTTATCTTGGCTAGAAGAACTTTATAATTGTAAGCAAGTTTTGATTCATGCAATTAGATACGAGATAAGACAAAGAGGAGTCTTCTGACAAATTTGCAATATTGAAAATATCCTCCTCCTTTTCTTTTTTTTTAAAAATAAAATAAAATAAATTTCCATGAATATCAGAATTTTTGTGTTGCCCAATGAGGAAAGAAACGTCATTTTTTAAATCATAATTTGAAAAAAAAAAAAAAATCAATAAGTAATTTAAAAAAATATACGAAGTAAATTAGGCTCGATACTCAAGATACGTTGTCGATAATTAACAGATTATCTTATTCGAAAGTTACCTCGGGATTATTATATTGGATAAATAAGGTTGGTAATAATATAATTATTGATGATAATGAAATGATAGTGTTACTATCATCATTGTCACAAAAAGAAATATGTCTATTCATAAGTTATTCAGGTTTCGTAATTAAAATATATCAACCAAGAAAAGGTGAACAAAAATGCTTCTGTGCTATTTTTTTTTACCAAAAACAAAAAAGAATGTTTTATCCTTTATTTTAAAAAATTAAATTCAACAGATGAATGCAGATGGAAGAAAAACAACCGGCTCCAAATTTGGGGCATGAATTAAAAATGCAACTAAGGAGTGACTCTAAGAGCTAGCTATTTCCACGCAATAGAAATGTTATTAAAATATTTAGAACAGTCGTAATAAAGTCGTATACAGCATATTACTCCATTGAAATTTCATAAAGAAGAAACTGAATAATTTGGATGAGGTATGTTACGGGGTCAACGGCTTATGAATGAAAATCTTAAACAAAATAAAAATCATGGATGTTCTGCACTCTTCCTTACGAGTGATTAAGACAGACGATTCGAGTTTCGAAAGAATTAATGGGAAACCATATTGTTTTATGTAGTGATCAGATGGAAAATATATTTCAATTTTCTACAGGTTAAATAAACAAGTAAAATAAAAAGGTTATTAAAACTTATGAAATTAGGTGAAAACAAAGAACTCAAACGATAATGATTGTCTGAGAAATAAATTAATAATATAATGCTTTCCTTTCTGTAAAAAATAAATAAATAAAAGTGGGGAGAAAACACACAATGATAAATTTTTATCACTTAACATTACATTATGTTTTATCTCATTACACGGTTTTCCTTTTATCAAAAATATGGCAAAAATGATCAATTCACTATTTTCTAAGCTTCAAATATTATATACGAATAGATTGAGATTTAGAAAAACAAAAGTGCTTCAGTTTTTAAAATATTGATAACTATATTAGTTTAACTTAATTTCCATTTATTTAAATTTCTTAGTTTTGAATAAAAATTTGGGATTTTTTTTTTATTGATTGACGTAGTATCCATAATGATTATATATAGAATAGTACGTTTATTAGGTGAATTGAGGCGAGTGCCCTTCACGGTTATGTTGGCCCAATATACGCACTATTTGGACAAAAATTTTTTTTTTTCATTCGTCGTTTAGCATTGATTAGGCCGAATTTCGCTAAAACAGCAATTTCTTCTTTCAAGCTGCAGGTGGCTGGGAGTCTGTTGGCATAAAATAAACCTTAGACTGGCATAAAATTAATCTTAGGGAAAAAAATATGTGCAGAGTTGAATCGCATGATCTGGGCGGCTTATTCTGATAACCAAAACGGGAAATAATACGACTAGGAAAGGATCCAAGATTGTTTAACCATGAAAACGCGTCGTTTTTTCACTTCAGTGCTCCGTTTTTAATAATCCTTAACTAAATAGTCAGCTGTCCCCCCTTTTTTTTAATCGTTAGCAACATTTTACAACAAAAATGGCGCAAAATTAACATTTTGGCGAATTGGCAAGTACCATAATTTGGAACACTAATGAGACTAAGTCCGCTAAAGGTACATTTAATCATCTATTTATTGATTTTTCTTATATGTACTAAAAATCGAGATGCACTTCAGTCACCGGTAGTTTTCAATTGCATAATTTCAATTAAAAATAATGTTAGACTGATGCCTACAATCGATTCGGCAGTTACAACAGATGAGTTAGACAACAAAACGGAAATTTTTCACTTAATTAAATTATGTAGAGTGAATTAATAGTGTTTCTAACATTCATTGCAATGTAGATTAACGTTAATAATTTCGATTTAATACAATGGTGTTGCTTATATGAAAGTTTAAAAAAAGTTTTTTTTACAGTTTAACCTTATTAAGATGCATACAGTCAGCTGAATTCGTAAGACGAAGGAAAACGGATCTGCCATTACAATATCCTGGAAAATAATGATAATTGTATCGTTGAATATGAACATAAAAACAAACTTCTATCGTTGAAGATGAAGTAAATATTGCACCCAATCAAAACAAATTCCTCGTAGGGAAACCTCTAGAGAGTGACCACTCTTTTTCCACAGTAAAATGGTCGTAAACGGAAGTTGGTCGGTCTTAGAGGTTACCTCCATTGACTTCAAAATGTTATCGAAGGTACATGATTTTTCGCAAACTATTTTAATTACATGCAGTGTCATTTTCTTGGTACGGAAATGCCACTTGTGTTGACGTCATGAAAACCGGGTCGATGAATAAAATTTAACGTCAATAGAAATTATCCCTCCTGATATAATTATGTGCAAAAACTAATTTACCAATAATGAATGATAGAACCATTTTAAATAAATAAAAAATTATGTTTTTAAGTTTGCATTTAAATTTATTTCATAAAAATTAGTTGGCTTTAAAAGATGAGAAGAGGTTTGTTAGTTTGAGATGCTTAGTTTTTTTTCTAAAATAAATATTTTTTAAAAATTTAACTTTCAGCTCTAAAAATAATCCATCAACTAATCAACTCTAAAATAATCGAAAATAATTTAATAAAAATAATTGATAAATCAAAAATAAATAAATCATAGTCTTTAGTGCAATTTGAGTGCAGCATGAGATTGTAGATCTCTTTCAGAGATTGTCAAAAAGAGCTCTCTAAATAAGAGCCATAATACACTTTAGATATATTTAGAATACACTTTAATCTACTTAATTGTTTTGTTAATATTTTTTGTTTTGATATTTTTTCGTTCTTCCTTATTTAACCTTTTCCTCGTCTGATGCTAAGGTTTTGCCCAGTCGCTGGGAGAGAATGGCCTCTCCTAAAGGTTTTCTTTAATACGAAATCATTGGAAAAAAGCAGTGCTTTCCAAAAGTGGTTATAGATAGGTTATAGAATTTCGTTATGCAAAGGTGGTCTTTCCTGGGTGTTTTCGCTGTATTGACTTTAGTGCTGACACTCCTCATTAAAAAAGTTTATCGCTTTTCCTGAATTGGACAAGTGAAAACATAGCATTTTTCTCTTGGAACTGAGGTGAGGGGTCACCGACGATGGTTTAAGTGGTATTTACTTAGGTGGTGATCCAGACAAAAGAGAAAATTGCATTCTTTCTCTGATGGTGAAATTTTTTGTGTGATCTTTTCATTCAGCTGCTAGTAGAGTGCTCTTTGCAGACTAAGCAGAAGATTTTATGCAGTGTTAGTGGATGAGATTTTAAATAAATCAGTGATTGTAGAAAAAAGATGGAATGCCTGCTTCCTGCTTGTATTCTTACGTCATTTTTATTAAGAATCGAGAAAAAATTGAAACAGTTAGTGCCGTCAAGAAAACGGCTGAGAACTGCTAAGATTGAAGAAATGGAGGTTAGTTGAAGAAGTGAATGAGGGAAGCTAGAAAACAGAACATTTCAATCTGTGCTGCTCTGCAAGGAAGAGCAAAGTTTTTTGCGGAAGCTTTTGATGTCAATGATTTTACATGCACAAATAGATGGCTGCTAAAGTTTAAAGAACGGCATGGTATTATATAAAAAAGGGCAAGGGGAATAGTTTTCCATTTTAGTTATAACATTATTTCTCTCACTCTACAGATATCATTCAGATTCCTTGATAGATTTATTTTAATAAATATCATCGGTAATATGTTTTGATGTTTTATCAGTTAATACGAAAAGTTTTTTTTTTTTTTTTCTACCATTCAACTCTGTTTTTACAAGGTTCAACTATGTATACATATTATGACTAATTTTTGCTCGTTAATGCCTATATTTTTCACTAATTGGTAAGCATTTGCGTTTTTCTCTCCCGCAATTAAGTGAAACAAAAATGGGAGTTAAATTAGCAATTAGTCCCTTAATACCTTGGGTAACTTCGATAATCTATGCGCGAACAAAATAAAAACTTTATAATTTTTTTCCGAGTAAAGAAGAAAAAAAAATCTGGGCCATTTAATGCCTTATTGTCAGTAAAAGTATGAATGATTAGTTTTTGTCATACTATATACATTGCTACTAAGATAGATTTTTCTTTCATGAATCCAAAAATAAATTTTTTAAAAATGTATTTATATATCTATGTNTCATATGAGTATGAATGAACAATGAGGAAGGATGAATAAAATAAAAGAATGAGTAACATAAAAGAATGAATAAAGAGAAAGGATAAATAAGGAGAAAAAAATTATTTACACTAAAAAAATGCAATATTTTTCAACAAAAACAGTAGTGACGTAAAATATAATATTAATTCTTAAATAATATTACTTACTCTGTAATTACGAATATACAAAAGAGCTGGTATAAGCTGATCCATAACTTCATTTTTTACACACCTATTCTTTTATGCTTATCACTTTCCGTTTACTTGATGGTAATTATAAATTTTCAGAGAAAAAAAAATCACGCATATATTAAGAAGAAATCATAACGTTAAAAATAAAGGTCTGACACAACTCATATTTCCAAGAATTATCCGTTTTAGAATACTTGAATTTAGAGCGAAATTCAAATTTTTAATACAATTCACAATTTTTAGCACATAGATCCAATTGCTGTATTCCAACAAGCACAAACACAACAGACAACAGCACAAGCGAAACATCTCTGGGTTCAAATTAAATGATCTAATCCGTAGATGCATTAAACGGTTCGGTCGGAAAATTTCTAATGATGTGATAAGTGATTGCAATTAAAACATCACAATATCAGCGCATAAACTATAGCGTTTCAATAATTGGGTTTAAGTTTTCCGAAAGAATCATGGCTGGAGACAACCTCTTGGATGGAGATGCAGAAAATCGGAACTTTTCCTTCAGTAAACTTTTTAAGCAGCTTTTCTACACACACAATCAGCCAAGAGCTATTTTGAAAAAGAGTCGAAATAGAGAACGCCGTCGCCGTTTATTACAATGTTGACTCAATGAGGCACATTTCTAAAGTCTTTGAGAGAACGTCCGGTCTTTCAATTGTATGGCACAGCAACTCCAAGAGAGGTGTGAATAGACACGAGGAAGACAGAAAAAAATAATATATTTTGAGACAGCTAATAAATATTTTCGTTGACAGAAACACTCCCACGTGAAAATAGAAGGTTTAGCTTTTTATCTTTACCATCTGGTAGTAAAAATCTTTTCCAAACATCAAAAGTTATTGCCTCTTCTTAACTGTCTCCCCGTCAACCTATGTGTTATTTCAGAATCTTTTTTAGCCATTTTTTAAGAGCATAGTTAATTGTTCGATTTTAGCACAGTAAACTGTGATAAGACATTCGAAAAGCACATGAAATAGGTTAAAACTTCATCACTACACATGGCTTATGAGATCATATTTCATTATCTTGAGATTATTTGATATTCCAACCCCAATATAAGACACAGAAGGTTTAGAATATAACACAGACGACTTAGTGAATTTTATCCCTAATAATAGGGATAAAGTTATTCAGATCTGTTACATCTAACACGAAGCAAAGAAACTTCTATCTCCCTTTTTTCCACACTGGCATTTTTATAGTAACTGAAATGCTAGGAGTAACTAATTTATCTGATAAGAATCTTCGAAATTAACATCACCAAAGTCATCAAAAAGTGGTGCCAAATATTCGACATGCAATTCACGCGAATTCCTGTCAACAGGGATTATTCAGTTATTATAAGACTTTTATTGTTTTAGTTCGAAAATAGATCGAAATAACAGTTAACAATGCCAAATAATTCGTGCAAATTGTAATAAGATGTCAGTTGAAGAATTGGAACGAAAACTCTCTTCTATGATTTTATTGCAAAACTGAAACGCAGCTATTTCTTTCGAAAAAAAAATCTAACTTTTAAATACTTTAAAGAAGTTTCACTTTTATCAGCATCTTTTCAGAGTGATAATTAATGTGCGATTCTAAGGTAAATAAAATTTAAAACGAAAAAAAGAAAAGAAAAAGAGTTTGGATTTATGCAATAACATTCTGTAGTAAAATACGATGGAAGTTTTTTTGATCTTACAAATTTTAATGTAAAAAAAAAAACAACAAATAAAAAATATTTTATAGCTAGAAAAGTTATTTTTCAATCAAATTTTAATTCAGTCAATGAGATTTGAAGTTGAGAAGTAAAAAGGGTAAACATTAAATCGTGGAGGGGGGCGTCCCCCACTTCTTTCCATAGGTATAATTATCGCTTTATTTCATTTCTGAATAACCATTTATTTTAAAGAGACAGTACAACAAAAATGTCAAAAAAAAAAAAAAAAAATACTATGAAGTTCCAATTTTGATGTGGCCGCTCTTTTATTCAACGGAAATCGATTTAAAAATTGTTTTATATTTTAAAGCGTGTCAGTGTTACAAATGTCAGCTCAAAGCTAACTATATTGTCTTTGATTCAGTAATAATACCCACAAAGAGTAATTTAGTTGCACACGAAATAAAATCTTACGTGCGTAGAGGATTCTTTTGTACACGCTTGCATTGTTTAGAGATTTGATACTACGATTATCTCCGCACCACTTCATCATGAAATTGAATTTTTATGAATAACTGCCATTCATAATCATAATATATATAATTTCAGTTTTAATGCAGTTGCATAGGTTACGCGGATGGCTTTGGATAATTTCGTTTTTCTATTAAATTACGAAGCGTAATAACATAATATATTAAAACAAGTTTCCAAGTCGCAGCTGAATTTATAAGCAAAATTTATATGACTCATTAGTATAATATACTAATTAAAATAAACAAATTAAGAGTGTGACTCTCTTGTAACTCCAAACCAAGAACCGTTTGTCTTGAAAGTTTGAACAACAGGTGCGAGGGCAATTTTAAAACCAGCGATCCTAAAACTCGTTTTAAAAATTCAATTTGTTCCTTTTGAAAAAAGAATTTTTCTCATTGGTTCAACATTAGACATTGTTATAAACTAAATTTTGTTTTTATTTAAAAGATAATCATCTGTGATTGTTGCTAGCTTATAGCTCTATTTAATCAAAAATGTAGTTTATTAAAAATTCATTAAAATTTGAAATTTCTTTAATATTTAATTATTTTTTATTTCTTATATCAGGAGAGATGAACCAAAGAACTTATACGCATCGCGTACTTATACAATCTTTGGATGAACGTGGATGGCATGTGAGGGTTGCGTCACCGAATCGGCATTTCTTAAGGCCTGGTTTGTTAGAACAGGACGCCGTCAGCTGGAAATCAGCGCTAACCTCTGATTGGTCCATTTGTGAGTTTGATAGTATACGTCATCGAACGCTCATCTTGAACTACAATTGCCGTCCAACTCAACTGCAGTTGGATTACAACGTGACGTTAACCACAGAAGCAATGGCGGACAACATCCAACAGCACATTGAAATCAGCCAAGATTTTGATTTTGACATTAAACATAGCTTCTTCATTAAACAT